ATGTGCCCTTAGTTTTGAAAGGAAACACAGAGACATAAACATATTTCAGTTCTTCTAAAATACAACTTTAATAAATTTGTTATAAATGCATCTTGATTATATTACATGTTAATGTAGGATTGAAAGATGATCAATGATGAGTAGACATGCATACATTTTATGACTGTTCATTCCATAAAATAATCAATTTTACAAATAAATAAATACATTTCCTCCTGCTATTCTACAATTTTTTGTCAATAATTATATTCATAGTTACATAACAGCTCTGGCCATAGCAAAACTAGTGTGATTTACTACAAGACAAGTGTTATCAATGCCCGCATACTGTGCTCATACATGGTATATGATTGTAAATATTGTCATATATAGTATATTTGTGTTGGAATTTTGATCTGTCAAAAAAATTATATTAATAGTAGTTACATTCACTTTAAAGTTAAAATATGGGACCATAGAGGGAAATGTGTATCATACATGCAATCATCAGATTGAATTTGTAATATTTAAATTGTAGGTGCATCTAATGAAGCAACTTTATACGTCTTTGCCCAAACTAAATTATTAAGATGATTAATGCTATTTATGTCTTTAAATACTGTCTCATTCAGTGCCCTTCAATTATCTCAGCTAACTCCTGTTACACCAACTTCACTCATAATGCATAGTAACAAAATTATAAAGACACCAAAGATTTTTTTTTTGTTGGTAATTTTAGCAAAAAATAAATAAATTGCTGGTTTGCATAGTTATGTCTTCAAAGAAAATATCCAGCCTAATAGTATATAAAGGAGCTCACATGGCTTCTTTGCTAGAAACTGCTCTATCTATATAGCGAGAGAAAGCAATTTCAGTCACATGAAATGCACTTCAAACTTACCAGGTCAAACAACTGAAATATATGACCAAAACATTGTTCATAGATTTGTGAATGTATTTAGTCCCTTTAAATGTTTGGGCTAATGGTCTTACATAAACTCACTCACTTTCAACATGATACTGCTTTTGCTGTGACCTTTCATGCAGAGTCTTTGAAGTTGCTCCCCACCGAGCCCTGATCCAGAATGCCCTGGAGCACGCAGCATTAAAAGGGGCTTGCTGGAAGACAGATGGCCTGGGGAACACACCCTGCCTGCACACCTGGGCACAGATCACCCTGAAAGGGAGTGTCCTAAAGTGAAATTCAGCTAGCATCATTCCTCACACTGCACTTGGCCTCACTGGGCTCAATAGAGGATTAACTGACTGGCTATATGGCTATGCTCTTTTCAGCAAAACAACAGCGCCACCTTGTGGTGAGATGCAAATTAACATTGTAAAATGAACAGATTAAAAACACTCAAATTGAATAAAGGTTCTTCAAAACTGGCCATGATAAATAGCTAGGTTTTTGAAAGGATTAATACTCAGTTCTAATCCACAAACTAAACAAAATTAGATCCTCTATATCACCTATATTTCCCGAGGTTTGGTTAATTTGTCTAAAGTATA